CCACTGATTATGCATATAACTAGGGTTCACTATGCTAGATAGTGAACCGGATAGATTTACACTGTAGGCGGCTTTGCCGCAATAAAGGGAAATACAATCAGTTTGAGATTCACACAGTTAAGAGTTAAGGGTTGACTCTTGGAGCCCGTTAGGTGTACGGACTCGTACGTTCTGGTATTAGAACGGGCTATCTTAAGCTGAGACTCTGTGAGTCTGTGAGTCTGTTAAGCTTCCTCTGACGCAAACCTACGGCAGCCCCGCTGCACGAACTGCCAGATTGCGCCATTGAGCTCCCTGGCCAACTTGAATAGGAGCCCCCGGGCAGGGTCGGGCTTATCCGGGTCCGTACCGTAGAACGGAATTTCCAGCGGCGGCGGGCGACTGGAACGACCTCCTTTGCGTGGATGCGCAGCGAATCTCGGGTCTGTCGTGGCCTCTGGGGAGGTCGCGTCACCTGGGCTTAAAGCGCCCACAGCAGCGGAGCGCCGACCGGGCTGGTAGGAGCGCTCACGTCTGCAGTCCTTAAAGCATCGAAGGCGCCGACAGGAGCTCGCAACGAGGTGGCGGTGGCTGAACGCGAAAACATTGGCAATTAGGACCTTATGGGTCATCGATGCTGTCGACCTCTGGTAACGTTTTAGACACCAATTAGGGTGCTGTAGGGGCGTATTAGGCGTTTAAGAGCTAGACGCCACCCTGGTTTCTGTGGTGGGATGACAAGGGCGAGCTCATCTGAAGTTGGAACTTCGTTGTCGGCTGCGCGGTCTTCTGGATCGGCGTCAACCTCGACTTCATACCACACGTCGCTGCGCGCGTTCGCCGCGCAGTTCAACTACATTCCACGTCCATCTTCATCCTGTGGGACTTTTTTTCTTCCCGTCCTGGTACGTCAAAGCGCCGTAGCTCGGGTTTTGGGCCTTCATCATCGGATGCATCCTCTTCTGCCTCGCTGCTCTTGCCGGTATCTTCTTCCAATGAGGAACCACACGACTCGGTCTTCCGAGTCTCGAACCTGTTCAGCTGGGGGAAGCTCCCGGCGATCGGGACGTTTGTCGGCACGCTGTGCTTCATCATGGCAGCTGGTTCTACATGCCCAAGTCTATCAACCGCGTTGACGAAGACACGCACTGCATTAATACGGTTATCACGTACTATCAGCTCGGTATTGTAAGCTTCATCATTAGTAGCGCCGCGATGAACCCTGATGTATATCTGGCGGCGAACAACACCACCAGGAGCGACAAGTTCGACAGGTAAATTAATGTCGAGTGTGTAGTAAGTGCGCAACGCACCATGTTCCTTACAACTATGACCAACTTTGACTCATACTACGTACCATGTATTGAATCCACCATTAGATCTTTGCTGAGTGCCGTGCACACGAAGCCTCCCTTCCTTCGCCGTCTTTGGACTGCCAACCCCCAGAGGATCACAGCCCAGACCATCCCCAGCACGGTAAGCAGCATTATGCTCTTGAGTCCGTCCTCGTCCTCATTGCTCAGCGGGTTAAGCGCTGCGTCACCGTCGTCCTCCATCGTGCCACAGTTCGGACACCACTTGTCTCGCACCACATTCATAACAATCGGCATCGACACGCCTTCGAACACGTAGATAACCATGGACCGACGCGAAGACGGGAACAGATCGAACACGCCATCATCTCGAGACCCCACAGAGCGTGCGTTCAGAAGAGCGCAATGGTGACGCACGTGAGGAAGGCGCCTTTAATCCGAGATGGAGCACTTGACGAGCACGAACACCTCGGCGATGGTCTCGGAAACGAAGAGTGACGAGACTGCCATGAAGCATCCTCACTCCACTTCACTTGGCTCGGCCGCTAGAACGCTTGTCTTAGCACCGACTTGGGCCGTGGGAGGCGTGTGTTCCTCACTCTACGACCCCCTTGACGGTTCTTTTGATCACGGCTATGCTGCGGACCCGGACCCGCGTCGGCCACTTTCGTTTCGTTTTTGCTTTCTTGAATCAGTTCTTAATTTACCACAATAACTGCAAAACCCAAGCCAAATCGCCCGTAACCGAGAAAGAGAATGCCTCGGTGCCGACAGTGGCGGAATGAGCGATAACAACCAAGAGGTCTCACCAAGGGAAGAGGATTCCCCCAGGCAGCTGCACACGCGACAATCTATATTTATCCCAGTAAGTGTCGAACAAGAAATGTTACATAGCAGCTGCGATAAGTTCAAAGCAAAATCAAGCCCGACAAGTGTAGGAATGTGAGAAATAAGAACATAAACATAAGGCAAGATAATGCGTCTGACTAAAGCATGCTAATGTCTAGATAACAAACTTTCTACGTGTTAGCAGCTGCGATAAAATTCAAATCAAAATCAAGTTACACGACTGTTAAAGTGTAGGAACGAGATCAGATATGGTAGATAAGACTTGAAGTAAGAGACCTAGCTAATATCGGACCTGTGCTTTGCCATGACATTAGCAGAGTATGAAAGCCGATTAACTGATATAGCAGTGAAGACTGTGGCAAAGGTGAACCAAGGGTTGTAGCATCTGGTAGCTTAAGTTTAACTTTGAGCTTAAATCTAAAGAAGGTGGAGTGTCACATGGTTTAGCGATGTTTTCACCGCTTCCACCTTGATCTCTGTTTGCCCCCCCCCTATGGGGCGTCACAAACAGTAGAATACATTTGTAGTATAAGGTTTCAATGAGCTCAGTACCGTTTGGGGGGGGGGCATTTTGGACAGTAAATCAGGGTCCTAGTCTCTAAGCGAATGCTGGCAATAAGGTTGTTTCAATGTTGGCTCTAAACACTGTTGGGCTGTCGGTGCCACAACATTACTCTTAAGTTGCTTCCTAAAACCAGGTATACATATCGAAAGGCAATCCGTATGATGTCTTATTTGTAGCGGTTAGCCGGGTAGCTACACTTACAACTGCGTGCTGCTGCAATCGTACAAGGTCTTACAGAACCCAACCACTATTTGTGTAGCCTTGTCGAATCAGTATATTATTCTTCCAGCCAAGACCGGAAGCATAAGCGGGCTGGAGCATTTCTATCGGTACACGTTCTGATTTTTCGTCAAAAATACCCTCTCACTGGACTTTTGTATGGCGCGTCCCGCACTACCCCTATTTAGAAACGTGAAACTGTTTATAAAAGTTCTTGTTATTTCGCCATTTTCGTCCACTAAGTTTCCGAAGACAACTTAGAAAAAACCTATAAAAAGCTATATAGAAGCACACCGAAGGTGTGCTTCCAGATTTGGCTGAAAGACCTCATGCGCTTGCGGCGCGCTACTGTTTTCTAATGAGCGCGAACGTCCCAAACCCCTGTTCTCTATTGCGCTTACAGGCGTGCTCCGTGTCCCTATTGACGTAATTTCAGCAAACGGTCACGGGAAGCTTATACTCGTAGGACACAAGTCGTCAAGTAAAATTGTAAGCGTTCTGTTTTTACAATTTTATGTAACTTAAACAAACATTAGTTGTAGTACCAGTCATATTTTAAGGAGTGGACTAATAAAAATAGAATTATTTCTAAGCTGCACTTTCAAAATACTGTGTACCAAGGCTGATTCTTTTTCCCGCACTCAGGAGATTCACTATAACTTCTTCATTTCTTCGCATGAAGGCACCTAACCTACATCCCGTCGCTTTCTTGCATTTTCTCTACTTGAATATCCACTCCTTTCACTCTACTTCGTTGTGGTTATGGAGAACGAGATATTTGAAAAATGGATGTCAAAACAAGTTGACCGACTTGGTGAATCTTTAGATTTCTCCCAGGGCCCGGGAGCGCCCCTCATTACGTAGGCACTCAGAAGTTAGGAGTTTCCTCAGAATTCAGACTTTGCAAGTCTTTCACAGAAGTTAGAACAAAAGATCCTCAAAAATAAGTAGCACCCGAATTTGGATGATTTTGTAGGAAGTTCCCGGGTCTATCCCCAGCCCGGTCGTCCCTTACTACAGGTAGCCAGGTCCCGTCCAGCCCGACCACCCGTAGTGTTCCGCGTCCACCACAGGTAACCAGGTCCCGTCTAGCCCGGTTGCCCATAGTATTGCACGCGTCCACCTTTACAAACTTACACCGTTGTCGTTGTCGCGTTCACGCCTAGTTGAACCAGTATAGGGCCGACTGCCAGCAGTTGCGAGGCAGTACGACGATCAACCAGACAGGTACTGGCCCCTTCACCAAGCATATCGGGGATAGGGACGGCTGGGAGGGGAAATACAATCGGCCTGGGCTCCGGCAAGCCACAGGCGACTCCCACCGGACATGCAAACAGCATCTCCGTCACAGTACTTGGGCACGCCCAAGCACTTGAAACGGCTGTCCTTCACGGCCAAGGTGCTGTCAGGAGTGCACCTCGCGCCCCCACGGCTTCTCTCCGTGGTCCCGCCACCCTACTCAATACATCGCCCTCATCTGTGCACCACCCGCCACTATCGCTTACCTTATGCCACTTACTCCTGTGTCTAGCCGACACTTCCCTGGTCGCAAGACACGTTCCTGGTACTAGGCCACAGGAACCCGCGTTTCGGCGCAACTGAGTGTATTACAAGTCTTGACTCGTTACTATCCAGCAACAAATCGCATCTAAGGGTCGAGCTGCCACACCGCAGCTCGTTGCCCCCACTTACTTCTAACCCCCGTCGATCTACCCTATCCTGTCCACTCGGCGCCTTCTAGCCTACTTTGACCTCTCCCTCTCGGGCCCTCATCTCCTTCCTCGTGGCCTCCTGGCCTCACACTCGCTCTCCGACGTCGCCTCTCCTCTCTGCATACTCGTTCTCTGTCTGGTTCGCAGGTCACCTCGCCTTGCGATCTTCTGCAGCCGTCAACTTCAACTGCTACCTCCTGTCGCACGCAACGGTAGCCCACTGGGTCGCTTCCGTCACCGCTCGCCGTCGTCACCAACTGCCGCTCGGTATGCCACACCAGCTACTACGTCAAGTCGATCACCACTTGGACGCTGTTCCGCAGATCCTGCTCGTGTTCTTCAGAGGAGGGACGAGCCACCACACTACACGCCATCTGCGGCTCCAAGATCGTCCTCGATCTTGCGGGCGTCGAGCAACTCCTCGAACTCCGCTGCCGACAGCCACCTCCGTTCCGATGGTCCAGCCCGCCGAACTCCATACTATACTTCATGCTCCATCTCGTACCTGCCGGCACGATTACGCACTCGTCGTCGCGCAACCTCCACGATGTACCCTGCGGTGGGCATTTGCAACAACTCGGGCATGGGTACGGAACGCCGAGGCCGACCTCTGCCTCGTAGCATCTCCACGGCTGCTCGGTCGCCATCACCACCGCTTCGGCCCGCATCTCCATCTTGATCACCTTCGTCTCGCTGCTGGTGTGCACGTAATTCTTGTGCGTGTCCTCCTTGCCCGTGTTCGTCACCGCCGACGGCTTCTTGACCACCGTGAAGCCCACTAGTCTTCGCTGCTCCTGCCCCTTCCTGCTCGTCACGCACAAGCTGCCGACACGATGCGCGCGCTTGACGTGCGACATCAGCTTCTTGCCGTCGTTGCTGCTGTATTGGTGGCTGCTCATCGCCACCCTTGGTCTCTTCGTCCACCGACATCTTCCTCTCTCCGACGCCGCTTCTTTTGTGAAGAAACCACTGCATCTGTCGCTGCTTCCGGCCGTGCGTAGCACGCGGTCGTAAACCCAGGAAAACTGAAAAGTAGCTAGTCGAAAATTTATTTGGGGTAGTCATTTTAACTTTGAACTACTGTAAAAACTGTAATTATGCCCCCTCCCTCTAATAGTGCCCCACCCCATGAAATTTGACGTCTTTGGCTGGGGACTTGCGATAGTGCTCCACCCTCAAATAGAGCCCCACTCCAACCTTTTATGAGAAATTGAGTTTGATTTTTTTCCCTCATAAACTCCAAATATTTCACATCATAATCTTTAGGTTTGTATGTTCACTTACCAATGTCAGCGATTACTGTCAAATTTATTCTGTAAATAGACTTTTAAACGGTAGTTATTTTTGGTGCCGCATTCCCTTTAATAGTGCCCCCCTTGTAATAATGCCCCAGGTTGGCAGGAGGGGTACTGCTGCAATACCCCACGGGGCATAATTACAGTTTTTACAGTAGATATTTTTTTGCGTCGAAAATAGTCCCATATGGCAATTTCAAAATTATAAAGTAGATAGTAGAAAAACCGCACCCATCTTCAACCTTAAAAACTATTTTTAAAAAACTATTTAAATAGTTTTTCTTATTATTTAATATTAAAAAGTAGAAGTAGTTTTCGGTGAAACCTTAGTGGAATGTTAAATGTGACCTACCAAGACTCATTCCAATGAGTATGGGGATTCACACAATACCGGCCTCTCGACGATTTATAACACGACAAATTCAGATGGCATTTTCAATGAACCTGTCTAACACCTGCACAAGAGGAGGGTACGTCGAAATATTCTTATGAGTCATGAGTGAATGAGCAGGTCGAATTGGGAGCTTTAACGCAGATGGAGGAAGTATTATTAAGTTGAGTGCTCTGGTTGCATGTAGTATAACACGATGTACACCATTTCCGGGTCGTTCTGCCCAAATGCTCGATTCAAAACAACCATGCCGAAAAAAAGAACATTATACACGTCGGCCTCCGACCAGAACAGCACACGGGTTCAAAACAACCACCGTCGTTTTCTAAATACCAATGTGCCAGATTTCAACAAATGTCATTGTGTCGTATTGATGTTCTCAAATCGAGAGAATTTTACTGAGATAGCATGTGTACCGTAAGGTATGCTGCTACGCAGCCGGCACAGGATTAAATCGGTGTCGCATGAAACCGTGCGTGTATCGCACCTGTTTAAGTATCCATCATATATTGAAACTTTATGAAAGTAAACTTAATAGGTCATGTAAATAATTATCTAGTTGGTCTCTATCGGTGAGGAAGCATCAATCGCATCATCAAGTTTCATTCGAACCATTTCCCATTCTCACGCCCGACCCGAAGACGCAACACCAGGACGAAGTTACAGCACGAATGTAAGTGCTTGCCAGGGCGCTGTTGCAGCTAATAGCTTGCTTGTATTTGATTATTAACAGCGCGGAGGTAAGAAAGTAAATTGATATTATCGCAAGTGGGTTATTGCACTAAGAAGCTGCTTTTCTGGTAGTTGTGGATGCTCATAATATAATACGCACAGCGCGAACGACTGGTGCGCCGCAAGTGCGGCGCGCCTAAGTCGTGTGCGCTGTGCGTATATCTGTTCTGTTTTATTTTCGCTATCTCAGCCCCCGCGAAGCCCTAGTCTCGAAAATGGCAATCGTTGATCGGCTTCCCTCCGTGATATCACAAAAAGGACAGCTGGGGTACTGGTTTGCGGGCCAAAGCCCAGGTGTTCGCAGTTCGGTCTTTTTTTTACTGTAAGCTTATTCCAAAACCTGCACAGTAGAAAACTTTATTTACTACTAGTAGTACTATGTAGTAGCGCTATGCTTGCCGCAGAAGAGCATTGCATGAAAACGTTCTTGAATTTTAGCGCTTGCTCTTATTTTTGTACTGTGAAATATCATGCGTCAATTTGCTGGATGGCTTACGCCGCTCAATCTGCCGTAGCGGATCTACGTGAACTCACACTATTGGACTGCTACTGGGGAGTCCCCGTATGCGGCGCTGCAGCAGTGCGCGGCGACGGGCGTAGTCAGCCGTCATAACCGCAAATTTCATTTCATTGCATAGTAAGCAGAGGGCTTATTCTGCACAGTACTCGCTTGCTCAGGTCGTATAGCTCGTTGTTCATTTGTTCTCTTCACATGCTCACACACCAAAGACGTCAACACTCGATGGCAGCAGAGGACTCAACTTACGTCCCCGCGCCGGAGCCACTCGCGTAGCCCCAACTTTTATTAGCAATCAGTCCTTGTCTCTAGCCGCCGTGCTGGTCGGTGCGGCAGCTCGTGCTACTGCTGTGTCTTGGTCTGGAAGTCTTGAGATCTTGGAAAGGCGGAAAGAATTGGATTGTAAGTCGGGAAGTCTAGAAGAATTGGATTGTGGGTGCGGCTTGGCCGCCTCTTCACCGCGCACGCTCTCCACCACACAGTCGCTCGTGTAGGAGTTGTGTGTCATCTATGTGTACCCCTTGAAGATCTCGTTGAAGTTGAAGTTGTCGTACTTGCTGTCTTGGTCGTCCATGTCGTAGCTGCTGCTCGCGTCCATGATGTCCTCGGGAATTGGTCGCCCCGCAAATACCACTCACTATTACTCTCTCCCTCCAACGTACCATCGTCCTCGATGGTAACGAGCTGCTGGTGCTCGTTGCCATGAGCCACCCATCCGCTTGATCGTCGCTGTGCTACTGCTGCGTGCCATCATATCTGATCTGGATCCGTTGTCGTCCTTCGAGCGATAGCCGTTGTCTTGGTCATTCGTTAGTCGGTCCCTCTCCGAAGCTGCTCTTTGCCTCCGTGTCGTTGCCACTCGCTCTTCGTCCGAAGCTGCACTTAATCTTCGAAGCTGCTCGTGGTCTCCTTGACGTTGCCACTCGCTCTTCGTCCGAAGCTGCACTTAATCTTCGAAGCTGCTCGTGGTCTCCTTGACGTTGCCAGTCGATCTCCGTTCGAAGCGGCTCGTGGTCTTCGAAGCAGCTCGTGGTCCTCGAAGCTGCTCGTGGTCTTCGAAGCTGCTCGTGGTCTTCGAAGCTGCTCGTGGTCTTCACGACGTTGCGAGTCGATCATCCCACCAAGCTGCACTTGCCTTCTCGGGGACGCCATTTGCTCTCCCTCCAACGCTGCTCCTCGTTCTTCCGTAGATGTCAGTCGGTCATCCAACAAAGCTGCACTGTAGTCGTCTGTCGCCTCCCTCAAAAGCTGCACCTCGTCTTCCTGTCGATAACAATCGGTAAAGCTGCACTGTCTTAGTCAGTCGCTCTCCCTCCGAAATTGCACCTCGCATTCCTATCGATGTCCTCCTCCTCCTCGATTGCCGTCCATAACCCACCGGCGACCGCTCTTATCTCGATTTTGCAGGGATAAGATTAATATAGAAATTTGTAAACTGGCGGGATAGGGTAAGCGAGGTCCCCAGCGGCCTGCCCCGACTCTTCGGGTTCCACCGGCTGTCAATCTCATTGGTCAGAGTTATCCAATCAAAGCTTGGATACGGCCGTAATATTAAGCTCTGTCGAGATTTCGATCGAAAAAACCTTGGCGTAATTCGCAGGATAATGCGAACATTCGCTAAGTGAGTGAATTGTTCTGAGCTGAATATCGCGGTTGATGGACATGCTCGGCAATCGCTGTGACACTATCCACGGCACGGCACATGAGGGACACCTTCTACTGCAACGACGAGACGTACGAGGCACAACCGAAAGCAGAACAACTCAATCTCGGTACGCTGCTCACTCTAGCCAGCCTGTTGCCCCATTGCTGACGTGTTTCTCGACTGCAGGCAAGGCGAGCGCTGGCGGCACCAGTCCCCCCCATTCCATCGGCAGTACACCCGCCTGACTTCCTCCTTCCTCTTCGCCATGCAGGGCTACGGCTACTCGCAGTACCAGGCGCACTCGCCGCACCACCAGCGCAGCGGCGAACTTCCCAAGCTCTACTACAAATCACTGGACCACGGCACCGATAGCGGCGGCTTCAATGTCCCAGCGTGCATGAACTCCAGCAGCACGTGAACCCAAACAGCATGCAGGCCCAGCACCAGGCCCGACGCCGCAGCAGGGAGACTTCGACTACGAGCCCATCAGCACCCAGGCAAATACTACGCGCTGTCACCCAAGGCCTATCGATACAGCTGGGGCGGCTCTCAGAGCCGCTCTGTTGGGCTGCGGTCATACGTCAGCCCACACGGACAAACGTTCGCGTGAGGCGCCCTAAATGAAGGAGAAGAAGCGCGTGTTCAAGCTAAACGATGGCATCAACCATCACAAGACGCTGCAGGACAAGGCCGGACGATCAAGCAGCCCATCGTGTGATCTCGAATCAGAGTGCGGAGCGCGCCAAAAAGCAGGCGGATCGCCGAGGACCAAAATGGTGGTGGCTAAGGCGGTGGCGTCAGCGATGAGGGCTATAATACCCAATGGTGCTGCCAAAACAGGCTCTCACTGCAACAGCAGCCTTTGCAGGCGGATGCAGTGAGTATGTGTTTTAGTGTAAGGGTCTAGTATAAAATAAAATAAAGGCATTCCATAGAATTGAGCGACAGTCAAAATCAACCTGTCAAAAGTCGCGGTCGCTCCTCAGTGGTACAGTACACATCGTGTGTGGGGAGATCTTCTCCGAGAAGATCATGGCCGACGCAAGTATGTACACCGACGACACGGCGGCCGACAGCAGCAGCACTATGGGTGGCAGCAGCAGCGATGACGACGAACGCTCGAACCAACAGCAGCTCACAGCGCGAGGACGCTCCGAGAGCCAGGGGCAGCTCAACGATCAAGATACCGACTTAGACCGCTCCTCCTACTTTGTTCTCTCGGGCCCTAACTACACCTACGAGGCTGTCCCGGTGTGCATGTATGTCCTATTTGTGGTGGCTATTTGATATCTAACCGTCCTGCTTGCATACAACAGGCTTTCACGCCGGATGTCAACCGAACCGCGTCAAACAACAAGAAAATTTATGGCAAGCCGGTGTCTGTAGGGGAGGTACGTACACGTATCTTTGGTGTTTCAGTGGGCGTCACGATGGCTCAATTCCGATGAATGCCTAGACGTTGGAGAGATTTCAATGGCACCAGGGGTTCCTTGACTTTCACACCCTCCAGCCAGTGCGCAAACCTTCACGCGACCGGGTGGGTATGCGAATTACTTGAGTTCTGTGGCGTAGTCTAACAAATGTTATTACGCAACAGGTTTACGAGCCTAGATTCAGGTTACCAACCATGTAGACGCATTTCTAGCCGCCCTTCCGCTCTACGAGATGTATGCGCAGTTTCAGAATGACGAAGACTCGAGTCACATCTACGCGTGGTTGCAAGCGTCCCTGAAAGCCTCGAAGGAATTTCACGCGTTCTGTGGTGCCAGGTGTACTCCCAACGCTAACGTGCCATTGACCTCTGTGTAGATAACGCTGTCTATGATAAAGCGTCGACAGCGCCTGTGCGAGTGGGATATTGAACGCTTAGACGCTTTTCTCGATTCCCATGTTGAACACCATATCGCCATGGAGGCAGATGAATCGTACGACGAGAATGCTATCCGGGAGCATACCAAGGAGGGGGTTTTCAAAGAGCTCGAGTATAAACCTCGAGTCCAAGAAGCCGCTGCGCTCGAGTGGCTTGCTGTCTGGACGCATCAAACCGAGGTGATGTTTCCTCGTCTTGGGGTATCGTTGAGACGCTAGTACGTCGGAAAGAGCTTAACCCAGCTTCACAGAAGCATACATATTTTGTTAGCGATGCTGAGATGTAATGAAGAAGCCCATGCCTACATATATTCCGTCATCGCTTTCTTATTGTAGCATAGATCTCAACGTTGACAACCAGCTTGGGATTCGCTCTCCCTCACAAGCGTATTTGAATTTAAGTTTGTATGACAGATGTCAAGATTGACTTCGGAGTGAAACATAGATCTCAGCGTTGACAACCAGCTTGACCGCCGTCGAGTCAAAGCTGGCTTCGCTCTCTCTTACAGGTGTATTTTGGCAAGATCGACTTCGCAGTGAAATATTGACTCCCACCTAATTATCCGACTCATTCTGCTGCTCGGTCCCGCTGAGCGTACATTCCACCGCGCCGAGCAGCTCCGCCAGCACTTCCGCCACGGCCTCCCGCTCGCTCTCATCCGGGGGCCTCTCAGTCGCAGTTACACCTTCTTCATCCTGTCCTGCTGCATCTGCGCCTGGCCGCTCTGGCCGATGCACTTGTACCTCTACGTTTCGCGAGACACTTGGAACCGGTAACTGCGAAGATGACACCGAAGCAGCCCCATCGGCATTCTGAACATCGGGCTCGTATTGCCTTGGCAGTACAGCATCCGAGGAAGCTGTGTCCATCGTTTCCGCGCGTAACTCCTCCTTCGACCGACGCATTCGGATCCGTCCGACCTTTTCAGAGTGCGGCAGTTGATCTCCGTTCTTGCATTTCGAGTGCCAAATGTTAAAGCACGATGCAGAATTACCATCGGATACGTGTCGCGCCTTGGAACACAAAAACCGTCTTCCTCGATCAGTGGAGCACTGCTTGCAGTAATGACGCGTTGTGCCGGGAGGTCGATTCGATCCAGGACTGCCAGCACCACGCAGTACCGAACAAACTTTGCACACGCGAAACTTGAACTTGCCCTTCGCTGTCTTGTCCGTCGACACCATCAATTGATGCTTCGAGCTTGCTAGCGAGTACGCCGTCGAAACTGGTGCCTGGTTAGATCTTAGCTCCACCTCGGTAACAGCGGCTTCGGCGACTGGCACCGTGTCCAGGAAGTCATCATCTCCGAGAGCGAGTAGCTCCTCGTGTAGCTGAATGCGAAAATCCGCCTGTGAAAGAGGTTTTCCCCCCACCAGCTTCGTGTACTCACGGTGGGTGATAAAAGCGTTAATAACAGCTATGTAGAGAAGCCCGTAGAAAACAGTCTTGTAGTATTTCTTCGGTCACATGACTCTTTGGATGGAGTACCTAGTCAAAAGCATTTTCAGCGTAAGTGATGGGCGGCAGAACCGCAACAGAGCAACACGTACCTTTGCAGGCGTAACTGGTCGTGACTGTCAACACCCCCCATGTACTTGTTGAACAATACCACAAACTCTGGACACGGAATGTTTGCCTGTGAGCCGTCCTTTTGCTTCCTCTGCACAATCGCACGTCTAGCGGAGGCCCCAGTCGCCACAAAGTAGCAAATTTTCGAGTCAACCCACCGCGTCGAGTACATTTGACGATTCGTATTGTTTCGAGCAAGAATGTATGAGCCGCGCGGCATCCCTCTCGAAGCTGGTTTTTTGTCGGTCTTCAAGTCTTCGGGGAAGCCAAGACGCGTCGTAGAAACCGTCCCGATATTGTAGTACCCCATGTCCATCAAACGAAACCCCAACGTCACCGAAGAATACTCGCGATCAGTGATGATGATTCGCTTCTTGGATCGATCCACCCGACGCTGTCCCCACAAGGCTTTAAGGTTTCGAACCACAGCAGCTGGTCCACTTCTGGTGTCAACAAATTGACTGTTTTGTTTCTTACCGCAATAAACCTCGAACCTGAGCATGAATCCACAGCGTTCGGATACTGATTACATAAAATAGCGCAAATGAGCATACCTGGAGCAGTAGTGGGTTTTCCCGCAACACACAGCGAACAGCTTGGTGCCGTACTTGTGCGGCTTATTCTTCAGGAAAACTCGTATTTTGTTCCGCGAACTTCTTGAAGGGATAACCATCTCGTCAAATGCAACCCAGCGCCCTAGTTCCATCCCACCCTTGAAAGTAGTCTGTAACTTGTTTATCACGTTTCGAATCTTCCATGCCCGGTCCGTCTTAGCCTGCGGAGACTGGTTGTTCGTAAAGTGGAGAAATCTGGCGAAGGACGTGTTAGTGGGCCCTTTATTAAAATAACGTGGAAGTCACAGTACCTGTTAATCTCCTTGAAACGCTTGCGAACCATAAATGGCGACCAAGTTCCAGCTGGGATCGCTCCACGGGCTCGCGTCTTCCAATGATCTTCCAGTCGAGACTTTATCGGGCAAATAGCCCTGGATATTACTAGGGCCAGAAAATGCATGATCTCCGCGGCAAGAACGTATTTGAACGCGTCCAGCTCCTTTTTCTTTGCTTGAAACATTTCCTTGCGTTTGTGGATGTCGTCCTTCTTCTTTTCAATGGACAACTTCGCCTGTCGAAGTCTTTCCGGTCGTGTCTGACGCTCGTAACGATTAGTTTCCTCGGCAATCTCCGTCCAGAGAGTCTTCGGCATGTAGTAAAAAAAGATCAGAAGGTTTCATCGTTTTCGCTGCCTCTATAGCCAAGGCAGTAAGTTGAGGAGGGTCCGTAAACACATCCGTAGCGCCGGACAGGTCCGAGTCATCCCGTTCGTCGGTTACCGGTAGCAACTCCCAATCATTGTCAGACATGCCTCGAAGCATTTCATCTGTTATGTAGTCCTGGGGGCCGGCAACCGCGCGAATTACCTCTGCTGTTTCGACACTAAAACTTTCGTTTCCGGTATCACCCGCAATATAAAGCTCATCTGCAAAATCATCTTCAGAATCGTCGTCGGCACTCTCGCTAGAACAGCCATCCGATTCCAGCACCTCGTGATCGTCATCAATACCCACGTTCACTTCATCAGCAAGCATCTCCGCACGTATTTTCGATTTTTTCCCAGATACTCGACTCCCGGGAGACGAAAGAGTACGTCGATTTGCGAGGGTGGTGCGGTTGTTTCTGCTGTCTGCCGGGGCGATTTTCTTTTTCTGGGAGCCTTGCCTGACCCTCTGGAATCTGCTCGCGGTACTGGCGTATCATCCGCATCCGCATTGTTTGAGATCCCGTCACCCCAAGGCTCAACACCACCACCTGCATTTGAGACCGCCTCTTCCTCGGTAGTCTCGGGAAAATAATCCGGGTAATCGTACTCGTAGTCATTTTCGGTTCGATCATCGGTTTGCCGGCTCTCGGTAGCCACATTGTCAGCATCATTGGTTACTCCCACTCCATTATTTTCTGGAATCGATGCTCTGCTTGCTTGGCGAGCTGTAGATCCACCGCTGGGTTTCTCGTTCTCATCGGTATCTTTCCGAGGGCTGTCATGGCCTACCGTCCCGGTAGCATTGGTGACTTCAGCTGGAGCTAGATTTTCGAGCATAGTTTGACGTGCTGCTTTCTGGCGACGCCTAAACTTCTCCAATTTGTCAGGGCAGTTGAGATTGGAGGCAGGCTCCCAGCTCGTTTGGGAATATTCCTTCCATTTCACCTCAACGTAAGACAAGCCAAAACGAAAAGTTTCACGAAGAATTTTTTCCACTTCGTACACTTCCTCCGAACCTGGGCACCATTATTACAGTTAGTACATTTTTCCCAAAACCAACATAAGAGCATGTGACAAACACGTGCTGCTTGTTACCTTCAGAACCCTCTTGGTGTTTTGCAGGGATTTTAGCCGTCACGTGGCTACCTCGGTCAGGCAAGTCCGCTTTTCGGGTTGTTTTTTTCTTCAACGCGCGTGCCTCTTGAAGTTGTGCTGCCTTGAACTTGTTGAGGAGCTCAGGACAATGCAGATTCGATTCCGGCTCCCACGACGTCTCGTTGTAACCCTTCCATTTCACATGTTACTTGGGCTCTCCACGCACGAACTTCATCTCGATGATCTTCTCGACTTCAAACTCGTCGTCTGCGGCATTATGAACGTCTACTATAAGATCGCTACGACGCTTTGCTAGTGAAAGATGCGTTTTGCTTACCAGATGCCTCGGAGTTCACTGTCCTCGCTGCTTTTCTTCGCGCCTTCCGGGGCGGTTGGGCGTCGCGCCCGCTGCCTACTCGGCGCTTCTGTGCCATCTCAACGAGTGACGGTGGAGGGGGGGGGGCAAAAGGCGCACTTCTTGCATCCGGATACGTGGGCATTGTTGACCTTGATCATACAACTATACTGATATTAAATTTTGAATCTAAACACATCTGGATACGAAGCACGACAGAGCAGATCGTATACTTGTAATATCTCGATGTTGAGTTGCAAGTGCCAATGTTGACATCGCAGGTGAATTGCTTAGCAGATTCCTTTGGCAATAATAAATAGACTGGTACTGCTAGATGTCCTAAACTGTTTCTAGAGCTCCTCAACATTGTTTTCACAGTGATAAATACACGCTCGGCGTCGCACTCACCGTGTACGTAACCCGCTACATGACAACGGGCATCACGACCGAGCTCGCGAGAAGCGAAACGACGGGCATGACGGCCGCACACCCACCCACGTGCATGTAAAGAAGAGGGATTCAACGTTGGGCTGGGGAATGTCAACATTGACATCGTGAGGCGCTGGAACTCCAGATCAGCGAGGCATCGAAGCTCACCAGAAAACTTGACGGCAAGCATAGCGGCACCCGGAGCAGCGACTGCTGTACGGCGAGCATAGCTGCGGCAAGCATAGTGGCGGCGTAGGCGACAGATGAACAGCGAGCATGGCGGCGGCGGCGAGTGCGAACGTCGGGCAGCATTCCGGTGAGCCCGGTCACAGCGTCACGGCGAGCGTAGCGGTAGCGGGGCAGCGAGAGCAGCATGACGAGCATGGCGGCGGCCGGCATGGGCGACAGCAGCACGGCGAGCATAGCGGCGGCCAGAGTAAGGATCAGCAGCATGGCGAGCTTGGTGGCGGCCTTGGCGGCGACGGTCGATGCGAGCCGGGCGACGGCATAGTTGGGGAAGCGCGCTGGAGCAGTAGCTGGCGATTTCGGAAATGAGGTTTGGGATTGAGCGCCGCGGAAACGATCTTCTGGCACGGATCGCAGCGCGAGCGTGATTGGCCGCGAAATGGCTGACCAATTACGCGTCGCAAATTCAAACGATGGGTGCGCTGATTGGCGTAGATACCGGGGCGAACCCACGGGCGAAAATCTGCGTGTTGCGCGAACTCAAAGCGCAAGTTGGAAAAGCGCGCGAAAAGCTGTGTGTTGCGTGAAGCTTGATGGCTGAAGCCAGGCTGATACCACTTCGTGTGACCTTTGGATTGAGCCAATGCTGATTGGCTTATTAGCTTCAACTTCAACCCTCGATAAGCACTCCGAATTATAGTAGTTCTTGATTTAGTGACTACCTAGTACGAGGGCATTTCTTTTGCAGTTCTATAGTAACTTACTTTTGCAAGTTCTTCTGCAACAGAAATGATGGCAAACGGTGCCTGAACGTCGCTCGCCTCGCTACCTAGGCCAGTGTGGTGTCCTCACAAAACGCGGTACCCGTAGATATGAAATACCAACCAATGCGTGCACACGGTTTCTATAGGTGAGCGCTAGCACCATTGATCTTGTCCGTCGAAAAAGCTCTGCTTCTGGGTGGTCAAAAGCTCACGAGACAGCACACTAATTCCCTCCTGTTCCTCGACAACACTGATACGAATAGACGCCAGTGACTTCAGCGAGGAATACGCCGCGCTCGCTAAGAACACGGATGGTTGATGACCCCCCCCCTCCTTTATTTTACTGCAATTTACGACATATAGGAGCCCACACACCGCTTGACCTCCCATGCCGCGCCACCGTGCTCCCGGCTGGGAGGCAGCGATGCACGGTGGTGCGGCACTGGTGACTTGGCCGGCCTGTAACAGGATTACACGCACAAGTGGCTACAGTCACTTGTAACTCTATCAGATACGACGTCTGTTAGAGGTTCGAAAGACTTTCTCGACCTTGGTGTAGACACACCAAAGGCTGCATACATTTACG